CCGACCTCAGCACCTACTTGCCCTGCCCTGTGCCACCCACCACACTCCAGGTGCCCCCAGCCAAGTACCCCCTTTCTTTCCCTGCCCAGCCACCCTGCCCTGCTCATCAGCCCTCTCCCCTCAGAGCCCACAGTGCCCTTCAAGACGAGGCTGCAGGACCTGGAGGTGCAGGAGAAGGGGTCGGCCACGTTTCAGTGCGAGGTGCCGCTGCCGACCACGGAGGCTGTGTGGTACAAGGAAGAGACACGGCTGTGGGCCAGCGCCAAGTATGCCATCGAGGAGGCGGGCACAGAGCGCCGGCTCACTGTCCACAATGCTTCCACTGACGATGACGCGGTGTACATCTGTGAGATGGCCGAGGGCAGCCGCACGGTGGCCGAGCTCGCAGTACAAGGTGGGTGGCAACACGACAGGGGGGTCCATGAAACTGGAGGAGGGGCAGGCTGTCCGGTTTGACTAACTCCTGGCTCTGGCCATCCTAGGCAACCTCACCCGAAAGCTCCCGAGAAAGACAGTGGTGCGCGTGGGGGACACTGCCATGTTCTGCGTAGAGCTGGCCAGGCCAGAGGGCCCGGTCCACTGGCTTCGGAACCATGAGGAGGTGGTGGCCGGGGGCCGAGTAGCCATCACCACTGAAGGCACATGCCACACGCTGACCATCTCCAAGTGCAGCCTGGAGGATGTGGGTGAGGTGGCCTTTGTGGCTGGGGACTGCCGGACGTCCACTCAGTTCTTGGTGTCAGGTAAGGGCCTGGAGTACCTCTCCAATGGAAGAGGTGCCCCTTGTCACCATCCGTGCTCTGGACCCAGGGCTGGCCCACATGTGCTCAGTAGCTGCAGGAAGGGTGTGGGGCTCATTGCGTTCAGGCTGTAGCTCTGGTAACCCTCAGACCCACAGATGTTTGCAGCCATCCCCCACTCTGGGCTCCCCAGGCGTTGACAAAATGGGAGACTTGGTAGCCTCTCATCCTACCAACCAAATTAGAGGTGCAGATTGTTCTAGAAGCACAGTGTGTGGTTGTCCTGTGTGAGCATGTCTTCTCTCTGTGGCCTTTAGTATCTACATTGTAGGTTGTGCGGTGGTTCCCTCCCACTCCCGTCCTCCCCCACAGGGCTAACTCTTGGCTGGGGGCAGGGGGATGCCCCTCCATAGGGCTCCAGCACCTCAGGAGGGTCACTGTGCCCTGCTTCAGCCACTGTCTAGCCAAGACCCCAATGCACTGAACTGGAAGGTGTCTGTCCCCAAACCACATGGCCAGCTTATGGTGGCCCTGGGCCCAATGTGGCTGCTGCAACTTGAGAAATGGTCACAGGTTGGGACCAGGGATCATGGGCCTACAGCTTCCCCTCAGGCCGGCCTTCCACCTTGGCTGTGGCCATTTCAGACCATCAGAGCAGTGCCCCCTAGGAGGGCTGGAGATTCTGTGCCCCTCTCCTCCAGGGTGATCCTGGATCTGGGGTCAGGGAGGGGCTCCCAGTTGGTGACAAGGACCTGTGCTCTGCCCAGCCCCCAGGAAGCCACCACCACACACCCCTGAGGCCCCTGTGGTCAAGGCCAAGACAGAGAGTTCCGTGACTCTCAGCTGGTCCCCACCACCCCATGGGGACCGCCCTGTCACCATTGATGGCTACGTGGTGGAGAAGAAGCGATTGGGCACCTACACTTGGAGCCGATGCCATGAGGCCGAGTGGGTGGCTACACCTGAGCTGACTGTGGACTGTGTGGCTGAGGAGGGGGACTTCCAGTTCCGTGTGTCAGCTGTAAACAGCTTTGGCCAGAGCTCCTACCTTGAGTTCCCGGGGACTGTCCACCTGGGTAAGTATGGACGGTTCTGTTCCCATTGGCTTCCAGGTAATGGCCTGCAGGGCACCTGCTGCTGAATCACCCAGACTTAGAGCATAGCCCAGCCTTGGTGAGGCCACAGTGATTCATGGAGCCTCTTTATTGGCGGGGGTGGGGGTGGCGGGGGGAGTTACCAGGGTCCTGATGTTGGAGCCTCCTCTGTGGGAAGGGGAAGAGACTCTGAGACAGGACTTGAGGCCCCTAGAAACCTATCTGTGTCCACCAGCCCCAGGGGACCAGGCTGCACAGCTGCACCCTCCACCTCTAGTGTGTAGGATCCGGAGGGGATCTTGGGTGGTTCTAACTTATCCTTACTCAGTCCTGAACCCTGCCATCTCTCATGGTTGCCATGGGCCTGTCTGACGGGCTTCCTGGAGATGGGGGCACATGTGCCCAGGCTCTGGGGAGGAAGAAGCGGGGAGGCCAGGTGCCCTGCTTGTCCTGAAGCCCCTACCCTGCAGCACCCCAGCTGGCTGTGAAGACGCCTCTGAAGGCAGTGGAGGCGGTAGAGGGCAGTGAGGTGACCTTCTCTGTGGACCTCACTTCGGTCTCTGTGGGCGAGTGGTTCCTGGATGGGCAGGTCCTGAAGGCCAGCAACACATATGTGATCCGCTGCGAGGGCACACGGCATGTCCTCACCATCCGCTCAGTACCTGCCAGCCTGCATGGTGCTGAGCTCAAGTTTGTGGCCAATGGCATCGAAAGCAGCATCCGCATGGAGGTCCGAGGTAGGGGGACTCCAGCCCATGACCCCTGGGGCCTCTCTAAGTTCTATTTCCTCTAAGGGTGGGGGCAGGAGTGGGACCTGTGACCCTAGGCCCAAGGCTCCTGGGGTGTGCTAGTGGATTTCTGGGTGTGTGGCCTGTGCAAGCAGGACCAGATGGGGTGGGGGGGTATGTGAAGCAGCTTGCCCAGCTTGGCAGGTGTCCTCAGCCACAGGGTATGAGTGGACTAGGGGCTGGGGGCTCCTGATGACACAGAGGCTCATGTCTCCATCTGTCTGCTCCCCTTTCCCTCCTCCTCCACTCTCTGTCACCTCCACACCCTCTCTCTCCACCTGTGGGGCCCCCAGGGCTGACCACCAAGCATCCAACGGAAGTTCGGGAGGTGCTGGCCCGACTACACGAGGAGGCACAGCTTCTGGCAGAGCTGTCAGACCAGGCTACGGCTGTAACGTGGCTCAAGGACGGCCGAGCACTGCCCCCAGGCCCCAAGTACAAGGTGCAGGCTTCAGCAGGACAGCGGGCACTGCTGGTGCGGGATGTGGCGCGGGACGACGCTGGCCTGTATGAGTGTGTCAGCCGTGGGGGCTGCATCGCCTACCACCTGTCAGTTCAAGGTATGTGTGTTCACATGTGTCCACGTCCTTCTGGCCACTGCTATAGCTACAGCATTCTGTACCCCAACTCTGGGTAGGCTCTAGG